TCTTGGGCGGCGGGAGGAACTCTGCCCCGGCCGGCCAAAGTGGCTGATTTCACCGCAGGACTCGGGGCTGGGGGGCGGGGGGGCCGGGCGCGACCGGACGGAAGAGAGGGGCCGCGGGGAAGGTCTGGATTGGGACCAGAGATGAGCAGATCCGCCTGTGGGTAGGGGCAGTAGGAGGGTATGGTGTGTGCGCGTTGCCATGCCCGTGTTTAATGTTTGTTGCTTATGGTTATTTTAGGACTAAAGGATTTTGTAAAAGTTAGTTGCGAGAAAGGGAACTGCTTTGATTGTCATCAGTTCTTTTTCCCTGTGTGTGCAAGAAATAGGTTAATCTTTCTCACACACATACACGCACACACTGAATTAGTACCTAGCGGACTTCAAAAATAAATACAAAACGCCAGAGCTCCGAAACAAGGTAACGCTTGTGTGATGAGTTTCAGATGTCAGAGACAGTGTTTATGGGAGAGAAATAGAAGGAGGACACCAAAGCACTTGATACGCCCGAGCAGTCATCTTTTTGTTAAAGCTTTGGAGCCAGTCAGAGTGGAGTTTAGTTGTAACTGCCAGGGTTAAGTAATCACGTTGACCCAGTGCCACCTACCAGTTTAGAACTTCCCTGAAAGTAATTCTGAAGACTTTACCAGCCCAGTGGTTTGCTGATTGGGAAGAAATCCATGGTTTTGCTGGTTTTCTCCCCTTTTTTAATATCGCACGGTCATAATGTGGCATGTATGCTACCTGTTTACCAAACGTTAGCTTGAAGAGTTGAGCTACTCTCCGTGAAATCGCTGTGAGATTATCAGGCACTAGTTCCGACCTGTTCTGGCTATTTGCAAGTTGTTTGGAAATTTCCAACGTGATGGTTTTACATTAATAGTGATCTTTTTCACTGTAAAGCTAGCGTTAAACAGATGCCAAGTGGGTAGTGTGTTTTAAAATTTAAATCTCATCCAGGCAAACTTCTGGTTTGTGGAAGGTGCAGATCTTAATAGAGGAGGAAATGTCTGGGGGACAAGCGAGCAACCTGTGAATTTGGTGTCAGCTGGCACACACAGCCTACTCAAACTTGCTGTCTCCTAAATCTTTTCTGTTGATTATGGATCTTTGGTCGGTTGTCACTTTAAAAAGTTCTGTGAACCGAGAATCCTCAATTTGAAATTGAGTCCTGTGGCATGTAGCCAGGATATGGAAGATTTTTAGTACAAGATGTAAGGGAAGATTAGTTGGGGATCTTGTTAATTCTTTTTGTTCAGCTAGTTTTGTACCTGGTTCAGTTCTGTTAGGTCTCTTTTCCTTCTTGCTGCCAGTGGCCATTGCCGATGTGTAATCTGTGTACAGTCTTATAAGGGATACTTAGTATTTGCGACCTGAAATCGTTATTTTCTTAAAATATAAATGTTTTTGTTTTTCCTTCTTTTCTCTTAAAGAGAACTGCAGAATTGGCGTTTATTCCACCTATCCCCCTCTTGTAGGTCTTGTTGACCTTGGTGGCATCCTGGAGGTCATGTGTTCAAGTAGATAAGCACTTCTTGAGCAGTTTACTCCAGGCTGGAGATAAAGACATGTGGGAAAGTGATTTGAGATATCGATGGATGTCTTGATTTTATAAATCGTTTCCTTATTGAGCATTGCCAAAAATAGAATATCTCGTCCTTTTATGGAAATACTTACATTTGTTTTACATTTAGAAGTCACTGTTTCTTCAGCTTTTCTAGTATTGCTTGTGTGTCCTGACTCAGATGAATAGTTGGTTTTGAGCGGTAATATTTTTAGAACTTGCTTGAAGGGAGATAGTGAAGGATAGTAATGCTGGAATGAATGTTTCTGTTTATTAAAGCAGCTAGTTGTGCTCTGCTTTGCGAAACTTGATGTTTAAAAGTTTAAGACTGCAGAAGAAATTAACTACATAGTGGTTACTTGAGATTTTACAAAAGGGATTCCCTAAAAGTTACCTTTACATAAGCTATATGAGTGTAATTTGATTTATGGAAGATCAGTTGACATAGTTTAGGGAAAGACTTTTGTCTTTTTTGTAAAAGGGGTTTACCTATGTGTCCCTTGAATTGTCCCTTTTCCAAAGTCATCTGGAGAAGGGGTTAAACTCAGTGTTGACCCACTCTTCTATGCCACCTATTAATGTCTTAACTGAGTAGAATTTGCGGTCTGATTTCTGCTGGACCATTTAAGGAGCACCTTGAACCCTAATTAAAATGCTTGTCATCACTGAGTACAGTCTTATGGTCAGGTTGGTCAGAAACCTGTCGCAGGGAGTTTGATATCAGTGGCACTTCCTTGTCTGATACTCTTTGGGGTCCCTTTCTGCAGCAGTGGCCAGCAAGGGGTCACACCCAAACTTCAGCAAAATGAAAATAAATAGATTCGATCTAAAGTCCACAAGCCATCAGAACTGTTATATTGAAATTTTCTCTAGGTACAAATTCTTCACAGTTTTCTTGATTTTCCTAAGTGGTAACTAATTCACATTTGGGTCACTTGGAGATAATGCTATTTCGATAAAGAACGACAAATACCTTCATTTTATACTTTCAAGAGAGCTGTTTTTTCCCCTTTGTGTTAGTGTATTGCATTTCCTTGGAATTGCAGGATGAAATAAATACTGGATGAAGTACATAAATACTGGATGAAGTACATGGGGGATTTAATTCCGATATTATTTTGCTTTGATTATGTTAAAAGGAATTAAGTAGAACTTACAGGTTGACTGAGCTTTTATGTTGGGATAAAGAGAAAAGAGGAAGTGGCCACAGACTTTAGTAAAGAAAACTATTCGTTTAGTTTGCTTTAGTTTTTTGGGTTTTTTTTCTGGTACCCAGAGTCACACCCGCTACCTTGCGCTTGCCAGGCAGATGCTGTGCCGCTGAACTGAATCCCCAGCCCCCGTTTAGTTTGCTTTAAACTGTAAATCCTGGCTTGAGTAAATGACACCCTTGCTCTCCTGAGTTTTTAGGAAAATCTTGTTTTAGAAAAGAGATTTGAAGGATAAGAGCTAAGTATGTGGGTATATAAGTATTAAAAGTATCCTTAGTGTGCTTAATAGTATTTTGTTTTTGTACATAAGGCAAAGTAAGAAATTATTTTAATGCTGAAATTGACTTAAGAACACAATTTTGGGATACTGGGCATAGCTTTATTCTTCTTAGCAAAATTGAATATTGTAAAAATTGAAGGAACAGCTTGGGTGATACCTTTTTTTCTTTTAGTGTAGACTCAGTATTTCAATTGAAGAAATGAATAAAAATGAAGATTGATATTAAACAAAATTTTTTTTAACCTCAGGAGACTATCTCAGAGGATTAATAATTTCAGAGCATAGCTCAGTTAAACACATCACACTGAGTTTATGATTAATGAAGGTGTGAAATTAAAAAATAAAAATATATGCAAATGGCAAGCACAAGGCTCTGAGCTGGATTCCTGGTACCAAAAAAATCTCTCTCCCTTTCACTCTCTCTCTAAAACATACGCAAAATAGGCATATTTTTGTATGCTTAGCATTTTTAAAATATTTGTGCCAGGATATAGTAGATGTAATGATTAGAAATTGTAATTGGAAGTTAAGGCTGATTTCTCAATTTCATTACTTAATCCAGTGTCACTTTAAAAATGTCACATAATTTTTCTGTTGTTGGTGTTCCACATACTTTATATAAACTAGGGTTTTTAAATAATACTTACTAGACTTCTTAAGTATAAAATATTAGCTAATACTAACATGTACGTGTAATTCTACCATATGTAATTTTCTAAAAATTTAGACCTTGAAACCTGCAGAAGTGTAACAGTTTTTAAGTATTAGAAAGTATTAGTTGTCATAGGTGGTCTTGTAAATTACATTTTCTTTTTCTATAGAGCTTTTTTCACCATTTCATGTTTATATGAAAAACGGTAGTTATTAAGTGTTGAGTCTCCTTGTCTATAACATCAGT